TCTCTCTCTCTCTCTCTCTCCTCCCCCCATTCCTTTCAGTCACCCTCGCCCCCTCTGCCCCGAGCAACTACGGTGTCCTTTTCCTACCTGTCTACACGCAGCTATTTTTGACCGGACTCGAAACGCAAGTACTATCCATCATCTATCTATCGACTGGCCCAAGGCAAATCGTACGCGCATTGTCTATCGATTCATTACGGCTCGTCCACTTTATGATTGATTACTATGATTGTGTCTGCAATTGGTATCGCAAGATACCACGGGTTGTCCCCTTTTTTTTATATCGAAAGTTTCGGAAATGATGAATATTCTAATCGAAGAGATCTATTTCTTTTTAGGCGAATTTTTCGTGCTCTTTTAAAAAGAATAATCATCCCAAAAATATCTGATGCAATTATTGTATATGCATATATTACATGTCTGAATGTAATTTGTAAAGAATCTATATTGATGGAGTTGGTGAAAATGTATAATTTAAATTAGATGTCAATGAAAAAACGTAACGCAACGTCATCTAATTTACGTTTGCTAACGTATCTTACAAAAGAATTTATTGCTACGGTTCATAATAAATTAATTGGTAACAGAATTACGCTTTCATAATTATCCGTATTCAGACACCGCTTTGGATTTATTCATGTTTTACTTTAAGTATAATATAAATCGGTCATATCCCAAGTCTATAGATATAGTAATCTTTATTATTTGAAGTAATAATACAAATATCGACAAATATCAACATTACTATTTATATGAAATGGCATTACAGAATTAAGAAAATACTTGAAAAGCAGACGTTTTCGAAAACTACAATAAAAATGTTCAAAAAATCATTATCCAATTATTCATCAAAATTAGTTTAAAATGTTTTTTTCCTATTATTCCCGCATAACATACATAAATATAAAAAACCGATAGATAACAAATTGTCAGGACGTCTATCCTAACGCACGATCTGAGCACTTTTTATGACACTTTGTGTCGGTCATGATACTTTTGCGCCGCAATCTTCTCATGAGGGGGAACGTCGTTACTCTCGAAATTACTTTCCATTACGCGAAACTTGGTAAACTCCCGAAAGAAGTAAAAGTAAGAGCTTGGAGGGGCGAACGGGCGATCGAGGCGGTCCAGCAGCCGCCGGTGGATTTCGTGAGGGACAACTTCGGAAATGCCGGCGACATCGCAGACGCTAGTAGTGCAGTCAATATATAATGCGCGACGTGCTCCTGCATTTCAAATTACCACACAGTAGTGCCGGCGACGAACGTGCGGGCGTCGCTTCCCCGATGCTGCCGATCGCCCGCCAACAGCAATAGTGTGACACTATGAATTCGAGCAATTTCTCTTATTCGCTCTCTCTCCCCCCACCTCTCTCTTTCTCTCTCTCTCTCTCTGTATCTCTCTCGCCACATTGCACACTGCGTTCGGATAATTATCATCCCGATTTTAGGGGCAATGTTATTACAACACAACGGATTTACGTTACAAGCCTCTAAATGCAGACTCCCTTTATAGGCTTATGTTAATAAAGTATGCATGTCATAAATATAATATTCAATATAAAATTTATAAACATAATTCATCATATGTTCTATTATTAAAACGCCGCTTATTTAGATTTGTTTATATGTACAAAAGAATTGAACGGAAAGTATCATGTTAATATATTCGAGTAAGTGAAGAAAATGTTAGAGATTTCCCTCTTGTTCTTATTACTTGCTTTATCAATAATTCATCATTTAGTTACTTTTTTATAGACTTTACATTTATGATTTTTAATTTATATTAGTTTATTTAGAGCAGTTCATTAACGAGCTTAATGTTAAAGTTCCGATTAGTACCTCTGCATGTAGTAATTGTCAATTAATTCATGTACGTCGTATAAGCGGTCGAACTTAGAATAGAATGGGCGCCGTATGTGCCTCTGGAGACATAAATAATTATCCGATAGCTGCGCGATAATGTAGTGGTAAACGCATGCACTGGCAGACAAGCATTGCCAGATTCGCAATGGATGGCGTCGTGAATTGAGATGTTAATCTTTCTTGCATTAGAATGTCTTGCCAAATATTTGGTAATTCAATTTAATAATTTACGATAATTTAGCAGGTTGAGCCAAGTAAAATTACTCGACAATTTAGCTGACACATTTCAATGCTAGCATTTGTATAAAATGGCACAAGACAAATTTTGTATTATTATATTTTTGCATTAATTAACGCTACTTATAATTATATTTTTATCTATAAATAATTATACTTTGTTTTCATATATATTTATATTATAATTAACATTCTTTCTTTTTTTATCTAATTAACAAAACAAATTTTGTTTTTATTTATTTATGTCGTTCCAAAAATCCTACGTGGAAACATAATTAGGCAGTGCATTAGATGGAACAGAGGACAAAGCCGTTTCCTAACGAAAAAGCGTCTCTCTTGACTTCTGAAGGAAGAAAATGTTTACAAAGCCACGTACGTGAATCGTACGGATTGGCGTCCGACGAATGGAAGAATTTCAACTTCAAAGAGAGAGTATTAAGTTTGTGATTCGCTACCTGCCTGTCCGCGACACAAAGCCGGCGGTGAGTATAATGGCGAAATAGAAAGCCGCCCCTCGTCGTCGTTAGGTCGTTCGACGTGTCGGTTGGCGATGAATAAACGCGTGACCAAAGGGAAAAAAACCACGAAGTGCACAATTATACGAGTGCCCGTCAAGTTCGAGTAACTCTTAACTATATATATATATTCGTCGCGGCCGGTAGGTTCGATAATTCGCGTTTTTCAAAGGGGAACGATCGACATTTTTCCGGAGCGATGGTTTCAGCAGACTGCGGCTGATAATCGCGAGAGCGAGGAAACGTGCTCAACGAAGATGAATTCCGTACAAAAAGATTTTCGCGTCTACCGTCGTCTCCGCGCTTTGATCGACGTACCGTCAAAGCGACGTTTCACTGTCTCATTTCGATTCTGTTTTACTTCGCCCGCATATCGATAACCCCCCCGGGTTTTTTTCCGGCTTTTTACGTTTCTCCGATCCTTTAACGCGCGCGCGGAGCGTGCGCGCTTGGAGTCCTTTTTTTTTCTTGCCTCCCTCCTGCCACCCCCTCCGGGACCAATTCTCAGTCTAGCATGGAATATACCGGAAGATGAAAGAAAGGATCCAGTCATTAACTGTCGTCGCGCCGACAAAAGGAGAGACGTGCACAGACGCGGAAATACGCGGATGCATTTTTTATTTAATTCCGTAAGAAACGTGACGGTGCCGAAAGAAACGAGAAGCAATAAGAAAGTGTCAATAGAAGAGAGAGAGAGAAAGAGAGAGAGAGTAAAATTGCAGTCGGTGGTTACACTTGGCAGACGTAAACGCACCTCCCTCCCTCCGCCTCTCCCTTTCCCGCGCAACTGCGCGGCCGTAATAAGTCGTACCGTACCTTCTCCCGCTCTCTTCTAACTTGATGACAAATTACTTCTATCACTTCCAACATAACTTCCAACGTAACCAGCCGAGAGAAATAACAATCAGCGTCCCATCTCAATAACTCTTGTTCGATCGGACTATAAAAGTGAAATGTGCCCGGCAGGATGCATTCCCCTCGCGTTTAAAACGACCGCGCCACGCCGCGAGCTCGCGATATCTCCTCGATTTCAAATGCGGCGGCGGGTAATTCGCGCGTCCGATGATAATTGAGCTCTCCGTTAGCCGATTGATTTGTGTACAAAGTGGGAGAGATCCTCGTCGATTATACACGTAAAGTTTCCCGGCCGCGCGCGCAAACGCGCGCGTGCGGGACAATCGCGGGTGTGCATATACCCGTCGCGCGGCTTATCCGGCCGCGATATACACGTATATACATGCTCGCGGACGATTATCGTGACAATTTCATTTCGCATTATACACTGCCTCGTGTCCTGCTCTTCCTCTCCTCCTCCTCCTCCCCCCGCCCGCCTTCCTCCCGCCGACTCCCTGCGCCAATGACTTCGGTACCGGGCCGAAAACTACCTCTCTCCCTCGTATCTCCGATCGGACACACAATCGGCGCTACATTCGGTAAATTTCCCTTCGGGACGTGTTCCGTGTGTAGCGAAATCCCGTTTAATCGAAATTTCGAATGTGCGTTTAATCCATTCCCGATCATCTCCCCCCTTCACCTCCCCCGCCCCCTCCTTGCTCTTCGTCCCTCAAAATGTCCCTTTCTCCGCGCGACAATCATCTCTGTCGCGTGCGCAAATGCGCTCGCAAAAAACAAAACCAAAAAATAGAATAAAATAAAATAAAATATCTCTCTGTAGCCCGAATATGAGGCCTGAAGCCTGCGATGGACGGATTCAAAAGTCGAAGCACTCGAGGCCAAATTGCCGTTAACGTTCTCCCCGCCGGAACTGCGCGATTTTCAAAGCGATTTTTGTATCCGGTTTTCAAATTTATTGACAGGAAAGTTTTAAACAATACACGTGGAAAGCTATTAGTTTTTTTTTTCGGGCACAATAGAAGTATATCGTATACCACCCGCCGATGAGCAAGAGTATCAGTAGCAGCTACTGTCGAATCTAGAATCACACCGGTGATAAATTTATACATTTTTTTTTTGTTCCCATCGCGGGAACTCGCGCAACGAAAATATTATTATTATTACGTCGGGAGACCACATGCACGTACGAGATGTGCACGTATGATAATAGCCGAGGAGTCGGAATAATAGCGCAATCGGTTCTCGCGAAAACGTTTCCCTCTTCACTTATCCAAGAGTCGCCCGGGCGTACGGCGACGAGCGGCGACGGGGGATGCATACATTTCAAATCGAGGACTGCAATAACACGCACATTGTTGTGAGAATAAATTCCGAGAGGTCGAATTCTCTCGGCGCGCGTCGCGCCGATCAACGGGTTTTTCCACGGCGCGTCCGCACCGGGCGGCGGTGAATTCGAGCGAAAGCAAACGAGCCGGCGACGAGCGCCGCCGCGGCCCGGCCAATTGTCTCCGGCGCCGATCAATTCAAGCCGGTCGATTATATTTTCCAAAAATGCAAACGACTCTATAACGCCGTCCTCTTTCCCTCCCGCCCTCTGTGAACCCTCCTCCCCCTTTGTCTCTCTCTTTCTCTCTCTTTCACTCCTTCTCGCTCGCTCCCGCTTTTTTTTTTCTTTCAGGCAAGAATTTTTCAATATTCGCTACACTTCCCTCGGGATGTTCCGCGTATCGATATTCCATTTCGTCGGGAATTGAGCGACCGACGTACGGCGTGGTGACAGAGAACGAGGGGCGGCGAGGGGGAGACAGGGGGAGGGGAGGGAGGCCGTGGAAAAAGGACTCGCCACGCCATCCGGCTGAAAGATGTGACGAGACCATCGTTTACCTTTATCGTCGCCCCTTACTTTCGTCATCGTCATTATATCGGATTATCGCCCTGCCTGCCGCCCTAGGTGCACAGAGTGAGGGTGTTTCTTGGGTACTCTATTCTCGCTGCCGTGCGAGAGAGTTTATCGGAACGTAACGGCGCGTCGCGTCCGCGTCGCGTCGACGTTCGAGCCCGCGGCGAGAAATGCATAAACGATATTACATTTATGTACAAGAGTTACAATCACCACACGGCTTGGAGGTGAGGACAGTAGTCGAATAAAGTTGTAGCTAGAAAAAATGTTCCATTTTTCACACCAAACTTTTCATTGAAATCAATCGCCGTGCAGGCTGCGCGTCTTAATATTCGCAGCGGCGCGAATGTCCCTTAAATGTCTCGACGCTCTTATCATTCTGTTTCAATTAAAACAGATTTAGCAACGCGAAATTACGGGGAAGCATTTCGTAATACGGAAACGGGGGGGGGGAGAGTGCGGGGGGAAAAAGAGGGATATAAAACTGACGTATGAGTCTGACGTATAAAGCCCTTCAATTTGCGCTGCTCCTTTTTTCTATAGGGCTTGCTTTGTACTAAAATTCGATAAATGAAATTAATGCACATGGTGTTTCCGCATGGCGGAGTTACCGCACGAATTGATTTCATCTCCAATTTCTGCGCATTTCGTCGTTGGCTTTCAATTTTGTTTTTTTCCGCGCGCAGACTCATCCCTGCATCCGCGCCACACCGCACACTCTCCGCCGCCGGTAATCTTTTATCGCCCCATAACACGCTCGCGGCTGCATCATTTGCGCATTTCTTTTTTCCATTCGTTTATTCTATTTCCATGCGACAAGGATTTGCTTGCCTGTGCTAATAAATCACCGGTATCCCTCAGTCTGCCAGGACAAAACAAGCCCGGCGGCCGCTATGCGCGGCTTGAAATCTACAGGGTGTCCGACAACCATTGTGCGAAATTTTAACAATGTTAAAGTATCTTGGAATTAATTAGAGACAGATATCCTAGGATGACAATGTCAGTATCGCAAGAATTTCCGAGTTACGAGCCGATGGTATCATGCGTTCGGATAATCGCGCTTACATGCATACCAATTTTCGGTTCCACGAAGTATTCATACTGTGTCGTTTAAGTTTTTTTTTGTTTTTTATTTCAAGGAAAATAGTGATAAAATAAAGTTACCAATAAATATAAGTGAATATAAAAATCGATGCATTCTAAGAAAACAAATATGATTGCCCTATATATGATATGATACTATTTATTAACGCGTTCTTTATTAAATGAATTAGTTAAACTACACATTGTGTAACCATTGAAATATTTCTTGTTCTTCTTTTATTTTATACTTACTATTTGCATATTGAAAAAAACTTTTAAATATCGTTGTTTTTTTTATATCAATATATACAATATTTAATTCTGGAAGGATACCTAAAAAACCAAAGCTTTATCACTTTTAAGCGATGAATAATAATGGAGTAATTTCCACGAAGCTTTCACTTCAGTTTTCACTTATAAAACATTTTTTCATTTATGCACGGTTATTTTTATGCGCAGACAATTAATTTCAAGCAATCATCATGCAATTAATATTCCACTGAATAGAATACGAAAATATATCAATAAAAGAACGTGAAATAATAAATAATGGTTCTGTGAGTTTTATACAATCTCATACGTGCGATAAATCGACGGATATTCCAGAATTAAATATTTTAATACATTAACTCTATTTTCTAGCCCATCCATTTCAAGGCAATGGATCTGCGAGGTTTTACATTTATCCGTAATATTTTTTTCACAGATCCATTACCTTAAATTAAAATAAAGGATAATTCGTCACTCACCAACGCGCAACGGCGGAGTTGTAACTGCGTTATGTACGATAATCTGTAAAATACAAATATAAAATTTGAATTACTATAACGCCGAAAATTATTAATATTTTAAAAATAACTGTTGCGCAATTTGAATTTATATATTCTTTCCTATTTTTTATTTGTTAAATAACGCAAATATATAACCATTTCTAAAAAGATTTTTTTTACAAGTACAAACTTTTCTAAAATTTTAGAAATAAATATTTAATTTATACATAAATAATCCAAATAATGTATATAAAAAAGCATCTATTTATATGTATTTTAATATTTTAATATATTAATAAATTAAATAGATATAATTAATATGTATTTAATTTAATTGTATATATTATAAAATTTTAATATATTAAATTAATTATATGTACATCTTTCGATTCAGTTAAATTTTAAATGTATCAAAATAAAAAATTGAAGAATATTCTATATTTTATCTTGTATATTGTGTAAAGTAATGCATTAAATAACACGAACGCTTAATTTAGTAAGTAACAAAAATGAATAATAAATTACCTCGAGGTCGCTCCGCCGTCGCTCGTGATTCCGCTCCGCACCTTCTCCACCTCTCAGCCTCCCTCGTCACCGACGTTCACACGACACTCGCGAGAACGCGGTTAATTACGATCGCGTAGCAGTTATCGGAATCGTTGATCGCGCGCTGCCCTTGAACGACACTTTTGACATTATAATTGCACGACAAGACGATGCGCGCAGATTCACAATTAGGTTAGAGGGGCGCCCCGCTAAAATTACAATCCGGGCGAGTCACGTATTCGCGAATTGCGATTCGCCGCGAGGTACGCTTGTCCCTTATTTTCGCGCTGGTGTTCGACTTAGATCTCTCGATCGAATGGACGTCGCGAAAAGCGCGACGAATCGCCAACACGCATATAGAACTTACACTACGTTACGCGAATGACATACGCCGAATCACGGGCCGAATCGCGAGAACGCATATTTACCGGTTAAACGCGCCGCTTGCCTGAGATCAGTTCGCTCCGCGTCCCCGCGAGTGTGCCGGTAATAGCCGAATGAATCCGGAGAGCGGCGCTTCACTTCGGCGTCACGTGACGCGAGTCAAATCGATCGAGACACGACGGTCGATTCGAAGACGTACGATCGAAGCGGGATGTCACACCCGCGACACGACTTAAACACAATTATTACTAACGATGAATACATCGCGGCTTTCCGTCACGTATGTATGTATACACGAATTACTCGACCCGGCGAAGTCGCGGCATCATTCCGGCGCTACCTTCAAATCGAGAAACGCGTATATATAGGACGCGGGCCGCGAACATAAGTGCGGCGCGTCGCTCAGGAAATGATTATCGCCCGTGAGTACCTGAGCAAAGAAACCATAATGAAGGGATCCCTGCGTCGATTCGATTCAAATGAGGGAAATACCTATATTTAGACAGCAGTCGCGCCCGCGCTCGATTCATTCAGATTGCCAGTCGCTTAATATAATCGTCGCAAATAATAACTCGGCGAAGCGCGAGTCAACTTAACCTCGCGCGTCTGTAAGGCGTGCGATCGCGTGCGCGGCGCCCGCATCGTCGCGACCGCGTCTCGAGAGATAATGATACGACAACATACACAAAGAGAGAGAGAGAGAGAGAGAGTGGCACGCGCCGCCCTCGCTACGCTACCCCCCTCCCCGCTCGGAATATCTCGCGTCTCGTCGCGCTAACAACGCACGGCTCTTGTCGGCCTTTGCGCCCTCCGTGCCCTTGTGTGCTCGCGATAGCGCGTGATGACGGCCGCTGTGATGAGTAACGTACGCGCGCGGCGCGGCGTAGGTGCCTTATATTATATATATGTATACCTGTACGACGAATCGTAATACGTGCGTGTAAGATCGTGCTCTGCCGGAGCGTCAGTCGACGAGACGGTCTACGTGTGCCGGAGCATACAGTCAGCACGTATACAAGACACACTCTCGACGCTACGGGCGATACACCTGCGGGTATACGTAAAGCGTGCGCTCCATCCTTCGCATCTCGCAATTAATCTTGGGCAAGTTATTACCGCGCATCCTGCGCCCCGTCTTCTTTCGCGGCCGCTCGTTAGCGCTACTTATATAGGCTGCGTTCGGTTTGCTCCGAAGCTCAAAGCGCTTACAAGCATCATTTGTCCTTGTTTAACATTTGATAAACAAAACAAGGTTTGAAATGATGTTGTGAGCGCTGTAAAACCCTATCTACATAAGTCGCAAACGCAAAACGCAAACGCGGACATTTCTCTTTTTTTTTTCTTTTTTTTTTTTTGACGTTTCGTTCTTTTTTTTTTCTCCGCGTTTGCGTTTGCGTTGTGCGTTTGCGACTTATGTAGATGGGGCTTAAGCGGCAAAGCGCGAACGCAGCCTCGGTCCCCTTAGCTCGATCGAAAAGCGTGGTGTAATTGAGTATCCGAATCTGGATCCATCGAGCACGTTGCAATTTATGTGCGCGTAAAACGGATTGATATACAAAAAGATTATAGAATTGTGTGGTTCAATAAATTAAGAGAAGGAATGAAATTGAGCTTCAATATACTTTTTTCGTAACAATTTAATTTTGTTTTTCTGATGTGTTAATTTTATATCAAATTAGCACTTGTTTGTTAAGATCGCGCGATTTCTCTCGCTTTTCTCGAAATGCAAAAGCTATAAAAAAAAATACCAATCAATATACATACATTAATTCTTATCGAATACTTTTTCGCGATAAAAAGATATTTTATTTCTCAAGTAAATTCTAAATTCAAGAGTCTTTCTAAGTAAAATTAATAATTCACTTATTTTTATTTTTAAAAAGAATTGAATAGTAATTAATTTATCAATCTTAATTTATCAGTGTACGTAATGTTCTATGTATAAAACGAATTATAACAGATAAAAATAAAGACATTTGTCTCAAGTAAATTCTAAATTCAATAGTCTTTTTAAGTAAAATTAATAATTCACTTATTTTTATTTTTAAAAAAAATTGTATAGTAATTAATTTATCAATCTTAATTTATCAGCTAGTGTACGTAACGTTCTATGTATAAAACGAAACTATTATAAAAGATAAAATTGCAGCTAGATAAAACTCGATCGGCTAAAGTAAGAACCAATAAAAAGTGATATATTCGTGCTTGAACTTTGCACGATATTAGCGAGCGTTGATTATTTATGATTTTAAAATTATCACGATCTCTCGATATTGAGATCTTCGATTTTAATTAATTTTCAGAGTATGCTAGATATTACATAATTTGCAGGAGATTCTCGTGTGAACGAAATAATCGCAAAAAAAAAACAGTCATCTCACGAATGCGTTGCAATTGCGAGATTGTTATATCGAAATATCGTGATTATTTACGCACGCGAAAGTGATAATAAGTGAGTTATAAGTGCAATTTTTTGGTATGATGTGAAAAATGAATACGATCATTACATCGAATTTAATTTATTACTATTGTGTATACATATATTTCTTTTTATTTCTTTTTTAACTTTTTTTCATAAATTGAGGTACACGTTCTGTCTTTCAGAACAATGCCAACCTGTACGCATGGGTCTAGAATGCAGCGAACTTTTCACTTAGATCGACCGGCCGGCGATACTTGCGGAGGAAGTAGCAAGAGCCTCAACTTGCCCCTTAAGCGACCACCGATTGCTACTGGAGGTACCGTACTTTTACGTGATTTTTCTACCTTACCGTTTTTCCGAAGAGAAAACCGAAGGTTTATAGGAGGAGAAAGGATCGGTTATCGCATTTGAAATTCACCACCGAACACCGGCTGAATTATTGTTCGTTTGTTGACTTTATTTTCATTCAAAACTTGTTAATTCGCTCGATTTATATTAATTTGCTTTAACATCTTGATAGGACATTTATAAACGCAAAGGGGAGGGAGGGGAGGGGGAGAAACGTGAGATAGAGCCCTTTGTAAAATTTTCGCGCCGACAGATCGAAATTAATTGCGATGCAATTCTAAATAATGCGAGTTAGCTGGATATCGCGACGTCGACAATTTACGAGCGCGACGTATACAGGCGACGTCGCGCACTCGAAACCCTCCCCCCCCTCTCGAAATAATCCGCGACGATCTCCGAACGAGCTTTTAAACACGTCGCGCGAATTTCACAGAGCGTCCTTTCCAGCGTCATAAAATTTCTTAGCAACTCTACCTCGCGCGCGCGCGTGCGCGCGAATGACGTCGCTATTCGCTCTTCCCTCCTCAGGAAGAATAATCTTGCAAGCTGAAAAGGGGACGTGGAATGATGACTCAGTCGGTAGGTCTTTGCAAGGAGACCCGAAGGCGACATTTTAACAGTATCCCCCCCCCCTCTCACCCCTCGCAGGATGTTTCATATCCTTTCTTTGTCTCCCCCTTGGGATACGCGCGTACGTCAGTTTGCATAGATCCGCGTGTGTGCACACGCGAATATCACGCAGCGAGAGAACGAGGATCGGCGCGAATCAAAGTGAGGTGAAAATGATGATAGAGTGCCGTCACAGTTGAACGGTGTTTATTTTAATTTGTTCTTCCGCGCGAATTCCGATTGCGAAATGGGATCGGAAATATCGAAAACGAGATGTCGGCGCGTGAATGACGGTGGAGGGGATTTCGTGGGGTTTTTAATATTATTGTATAGGGTTAATACTAAGGAAATTAATATACTCCCTCTCCTACCGACGGCTGTAATGGCTTTCTGCGACACGGTTGTTCTTTGTGGCCAAGTTGCGTCCAACTCGCACAAATGTGCAAACGAACGTGGTAAACGCGAGGTAGGACGCATACGTGAGCACATCTACGAAGCGTCTATAGCCGCGGGCTAGCTACGCAAACATACGCTGAACATTCGCAAAAACATCACCGCAGCAGAGAGAGAGAGAGAGAGAGAGAGAGAGAGAGAGAGAGAGAGAGAGACCCCGTGAATAGTTTGCGGACGCGCATAAAGCACCACCATGAGTGAGAAGCTCTTGTTTAAATCCTTCCCAGAGCCAGGAAGTCACTGCATGAGTTTCTCACGTGATTTTCTAGATAGCATTTCGAAGTAAATAAATCCTCGGGTTTCCACAGAAAAGCACGTCCGCAATCCATGAAAAATTTCACTTTCTTCACCCCATCTGACCTCTGTCGTATTAGTTTGCTCTTTTTCTAATGAAGAAATGATATAAATTTCTTTTAATGTCATATATTTAACTAATAATTTAATTTTACACGGAAAGAACGATTTTGCTGGAAAGTCTAAAAAGTTTGCTGACTATACAAATCTGAAAATAATTTTGTTTGGCTGCACTTCGATTTTGTTGGAAATTCAAACTGATTGCTAGAATATCAAAACATTTTACAACAATGCTCATCATTTTTGAATTTCCAATAAAATTATTTTCATATCTGTATTCAACAATATTTTTAGACCTTCCAGCAAAATCGTTTTTTCCGTATATTATTTCCTATATTCTCCTCAAACAGTTAAACGAGAGAAGAAATTAGAGATAACCGATATCTTAATGTCCAATGTAGATCCTAGTACGTACTTAATAATGGTATTCAAAATACGAATAGAATTAGAAGAGCTGGGATCAACGACAGGCGAGGATAAAATTAAAATTCGCAAACGTAGCAGATCGTTTTAAAATGCGTCAGAAGTAAGCCTTAATCTGCAATTGAACGGAAACTTAATGGCGGGCCCATCGGATTCCATGGAATGCGGCAACGGCAGCCACTTGGCAATCCGCTCAAATACGCTGCATCCGCGCGTCCAGAAGCCGATCGGACTGCCTATCTTCTGTTCCATCTCACAATCCGGCTCCGGTCGGTACACCTCCCACGGTAACCTCCTCCCACGATGGTCGTGGGAAACCACATCCTGGCGTGACTCCAAATTGCGTGCAAAACCATCAGTGGTAAATGCGAGTCGAGCGTCAGGGAGCAGAGTGGATGGCCGGAGAGAGACGGAGAGAGAGAGAGAGAGAGAGAGAGAGAGAGAAACAGGAAAGGGCTGCTGTCGATCGCAATCCATTGATCCTAGCCGCCGTACGTTGAAAGGCAATTAATCATTAATGACCTGCCGTAAAAGAACGGCGCCAGCTTTTAGCGGGGGGGAGGGAGGGGGGGAAACTTTTGAAGTGCGGGACGGTGTACGGATGAAGTGTATACCGTAATTCAGCGATACAGCTAATTCGCTGATAATGAAATTCGCGGCAGCTGTTGTTCCGTACCGTTCGTGGAAAGTGCATTTCTTAAAACCGTTATCTTGTACTCTCCCGTTGCTTTATTTAAATATCTCAGCACTTATACATTCCGATGCAGTGAATCGATTTTCCTTGCGAACGGCCAAATTAATAAAATAACCGAACGTAAAAGAGGAGCGCAATTATTTCCGATTTAACTTGAGACTCTTAATTTGCCAAGTGACTCGAAATGAAATGAAATGAAATGAAACGTTGACATAGTCGTACTTTATAAGTTCCACTTGTTGCCGTGAAGTTACACGCGAGCGTAAAGCTCGTCGTCGGAGAGCGCGGCGACGGCCCAATCGTGCCTTTTCCGCGATAATTGACCGTGCGCAAGTGCCTCGCTGACAGCCCAATTACGCGCGAGGATACTTGCAATCAAGCCAATAATTGTCGTCGACTGCCGCGGATAGCGCCGAGCTGCAATATTCGCCGACGGCGACGGCGGCGGCCGATACATCGGCGGTGGCAGACGTAATTAGCTCGACACGCCCCGGCACCGCTTCTAGATTTCAATTTCGTCGACGGGGCACGGCGGATTACTGATACATGGCGGTCTTCCCGCGGAGAATAACGCCGTACTAATCGTACTTTCGCGGGAACCACTCGATCAGGACAATTGGCTAATTGGCGTTACAATGTAAAATAGTCTCGCATATTACATATTAGGAGGGTGATTTAGTTTTAAGGGTTTTGCAAGATAATGGCACTAATGTCAGTGCTGTTGAAGACATTCCAATTACAGCGCTATTGTTTCTTAATGCTTTATTATTACTTTATGATATTTAATTATTTACTAATAATAGACGCAGTAAACATCGTGTTTGTACCATTTTTTTTCTTAATAAAGCTTGATATAAAACAGTATTTTTGATTTCATGTTGTATCATGAAGCAAATGTTATTAGAGCTGAAATGAGAAGTCTTGCCGCACTCGCGTATTTTCCAAACATTGCTTCATGACATGTGATTATCACTTGTTTTGATCGATGTAACATATACTCTAGAAGTCTAAAAGATACGCAATTTCATAATTTCGAAGAAGTGAAAAAATTTGAGAGAATTAGATCAAATCCAAAGAAGAATCTTTTTTTATCTTCGCGGAATTCATCTCTTACCAGAAAAAGTTATAGAAAACGAAGGAAAATGTTTTGATTAAGGTCATTGAGATATTCGTACAATAAATCAATTTTTGGGAGAAAAAAATCTTCAAATCTAAATCACACTTCTTATACATATTTTACTAATGTGGCATTATCGTACGATGGCTAAGTTTAAATATTTTTCTCAATAATTTCCCTGCAATGTTTTAAAATGCTCATTCACATCGGATTGTTAAACATTGAAGATCAATTTAATCGTAATCTCACTATTCCAGCTTCAGCTTATGATTACGTTGCAAGTTCATTAAGTCGGCGCGCAGTTCAAAAGACTGAATAATGCAGGATTAAGAATTTATATAGAAATATTAGGCACACCGAAAGAACGATTTTGCTGAAAAGTCTAAAAGTTTGTACAGATCTGAAAATAATTCTTGTTAGACCATCAAAATAATTTTGTTGAAAAGTCGAAAATGATACAAGCATTGCTATAAAACGTTTTCTTATTTTAGCAATTTGACTTTGCAACAAAATTACTTTGATAGTCCAACAAGAATTATTTTCAGATCTGTATCCAGCAAAATCGTTCTTTCCATGCACCAAGATTTAGCCTCGATTGTACAAGGCGCTCTTAAATTTATTTGTGATAATCACTTACGCGGTTTAATTTAACTTACTATTGTTTACATGCTATAAGTTTAAATTCCCGACGGTATATTTATAATATACATAATTTATAATGCACGTACACACAGTATCAGGAACGTTCAATTTTATATTGAATAATTTACATCCTTACTTTCCTTGTTACTCGAGGATCACTTTGGGTGGATCATTCCGATGTTAATGCCGCTTTGTGATCCATCCTCGAGCCGGCGAGGGGCAGAATTGACTCTACTCTAGGCTAGACGGGAAACTGAGTTTTGGATGTGAAATAATTAATGCCAGCTCGCAGGCGACACGGACGTTGCGCGTCACCACGTTACGCGTCCCTCGACCTGCTCACTCTCCTTCGTCCGCAATCCCAAAGCGCGGCCCTCCGCCATCCCTCTTGGTCCACACTGGTCCCTCGCGTGTTTCACCCCTGCACGACCCTTCGTTCACCTGCGTCACCTCTCCTGCGTCTGCCTGACCGCCAGCGTCGCCGTTGCCGCCGCCGCCGTCGCCGTCGTCATCGTTTCCGGTCATAACTCAAAATCCCTCAGGTGTGCTAACCGCGTATGCCAGCGGTCACGTTGGAATGTTAGGCCGCGAGTTTCCACCATTATTAAGCCTCGTCCGCACGTTCGCAGTCGCCGCACGTGCGCTGCGACATACACACATGACCTCTCTTCTCCTG